TTCTGTTTCCCCTGTCGGGCTACCACAGGGCTACACGCCCAGCCAGCCCATAGCAGGGACCCTCCTCCGCAGGCCCAGGCTCCTGGCTGCAGCAGACTGGCCCCAGGTCCAAGGAATGAGCTCGGCACCCTGCCAGGGTCCTGGTCACGTGGTTTCTCCACTTCCCCAGGTCAGGCCCCTCTGGGGAACTGAACGCCTCGTACTCAGAGCGAAACAAGGCCCAGGAGGAGAGACCACAAGGCTAGGGACAAGACCCCATGTTCTCTCTTGACCACAGAAACTCAGAGGAGCAGCAATGACAGGGACAGCCTTGTCACCACGTCCATGGAAGGCTGCGGGGCTGTGGAGACCTCCGAAGGCATCTCATCCACTCCCCCGTCTCCAGGCAGGGTTACCCCTACTGCCTGCTCCAGAGGGTGGGCTACAGAACACTCAGAACAAGACGTTCTGCCAAGGCCGCTCACGCTCAGCTCCTGGAGGGTGAGGTGCTCATAACCAGCCACTAGCAAGCTCCAATGTGCCACCACTCCACTACAGGGTCTGCCAGCAGGGGCAATGTCCAGGAATGCTCCAGGAGGAAGTGCAGGACTCTAGGGACCTCTTGAGAGCAAGCATAGTCTGCAAAGTCTGCAGGTCCCGCACAAGTTTAATATGCATTCTTCTTCCTGCACGTGAAACAGCTGTATTCCCTTCTAGAAGGTGAGTGTACCCCAAGTTTGCTCATGCAGACAGACCCCTCGTATTGAGGTCCTCTCACACCCTTTTATCATGATGCCGACCATGTTTTCACTCTGTCTCTTGGAATCCACTAGAAAACCCATCTAAGAAAAGTCGTCATGTGTCAGGCATGATTTCTGTGCTCGTAACAGGATCCCTGTGGGGAACAAGGAGGGCGGAGGTGACCAGAGTTTTCACCAGGATTCCAGGGGCACCGACACCCCAGGGCATTTCAGGGACACTAGAGACCTACCTCCAGCTCATGGCATCACCACAGCTGGGTGGCCTCCACTTCCCCACTCGGAAATGTGAATTGTCCATCACTTGGTTCCCATGGTCAGAGAACTGGGAAGAGCCCTGAGTTTGAGGCCAAACGCACCCCACTAGAAGCCTGGTCCTGCCCCAGACAGCTGTGTGGCCTCGAGCAAGTCCCAGTCCTCCCTGAGCCCCACACAGAGGTAGTGGGGCCCAGGCCTGGTCCCACTCTCAGCTCGAGATTCCCCTCCTGACTCACCACGTAAGTCCAGCCTTGGCAGGCTGGCTGGGGCCATGAGAAGCTGTGAGTGACGGCCAGCCTGGCCTGCTCCCAGAGAGCACAGACAAGCGGGCTCACAGCTGTACCCTCCATCCCTGCGGCAGACCCTGGGCTGGGAGGCTTGGCTTGGCCTCCTGCTGTGAGTGACGCTGAGCTGTGCCCAAACAGAGCAGAGCAGGTCGGGAAAAACCCTTCCGCTCCAGCCAAGTGGGTCACATCTCATACCCGGACCACTCCACAGAAAATAACCCATTCTCTTTCTAGCAGGGAACATGAGGGGATGAGGGCAAAGACTAAGCTTTGCTTTGGAGCTTGCATATGTGAGCAGAGAGGAGACGGTGACACGGAGAGTACCTTGTACTAGCAAGAGTCCTGGGTTCGAGTCCTGACCCTGACTTGCTGGGTGACCTTGGGCAAGTTGCTTGTCCTCTCTGGCTGCTCCTCTGTCTGATAAAGAGATCAGGCCAGGCCACTGCCAAGGCCCCTGCAGCCCTGATGGACTTTGACCTCACAGTCTCTGTCTCAGCTCTCTGCAGCCAAAGTCTCTCACACTCCCTCCTTCCAAGCTGGGTGCAGGGAGGCTATGAGCACGGGCCCAAGGATTCGCCTGCTGGGGAAAGACTGACTATGGTGAAATCATCACCGGCCCCAGCAGAAACGAGCGGTCAGGCCATTCTCCTGACACCGCCTCTTGTCTCATTAGTGAGCAGTTAGGAAGTACCTGGCTCAAAACGTGGACGAGAAGGAAAACCATTCACAAAGGAAACCCCAACTCCACCACACTGATGAAGGGCTGGGAGCACTGGCCACAGAGGGATGGCCCTGAAGACGCCTTGGGGAGTGTGGGGCTAAGGGACATGGCAGGCTCGGAGCCCTGGTAGAGGCAGGGGCGACACCCCGGGACTCAGCACGGGGGTCCTGTTACCGCAGAAATCATGCCTGATGCAGACCTTGCTGACTCGCCGGCCACAAGGCTGGACCACAGGCCAGGGCATTTTCACGACTCTCAAGGGCATTGCATGGGCACAGGGCATGTCTTCCGCCCACACTGACACCCCAGGGCCAGGGAATGCCCCTACAGAAAAGGCAAGGCTGACTTTTTTTTTTTTTGGAGCGGTTTTGCTATAGGGCGCATGTGCTCGCCAGACACAGAGACAGAGAGACAGCAAGTGAGAAATTACCCCGGGGGGGTGGGGATGGCCACGCCGCAATCCCTTCTCCTCCATTCTCCTCTCAGGATCTTGGGCATGCATGCACACGTGCCCAGAGTGAGTTTAAGTCACTGGGTCTGGGACTTGAACCGCAGTCGACTACATGGGAGTCCAGCCACATAGCCATTACGCTAACTGCTGGTCCCCCAAGGGCTGACTCTTAAGAAGCTCAAGTCAAGGAGCTAGGAAGCAGCGAGGAGCTGCTAGCTAGGAGGATTCAAGCGAGGTCCTGGAAGGCCTGGCAGTCTAAGCCTTGGTTTCCCCACCTAGAAAATAGGACGACTAATCCAGGGCCCCCTGGGAGAACCACGTCTGGCTCAAATACCACATGCCCAGAGGGCCTCACACGTGCGGCTCCCTTCAGAGTCCTTCTTTCTTTGGGTTATTTATCCTGCCAGTTGATGGGCTCCACCCTCGGAATTGAAGCTCCATGGCACAGAGATCTTGGCACATAGTAGGTGCTCAGCAAAGTTTTGCTGATGGGCAATGAGAGCACGGCCCCCAGATGGGGACCTCAGGCAGGGCACTGGCTTCTTGGCTGTGAGTAGCATGATCTTTAGCTTAAAAACACACACGAGCCCACAGCAGGGAGAACGGGGATGACAGAGCTGCTGGAAGAGGAGGGGAGGGGACACGGAGGAGGAGGTTGAGGAGGACAAGCAAGGCATAGGCTCTGTTGGCATTCCTCGTTGTGTCAGTTTGGAGAAGCCATGGACACACCCAGGGCTTCACGGGTCTTGCCTCCTCCACGCTCCGGAGACTCAGAACCAAGGCTCCAAACAGCTGCACTCCGGGCTGGGAGTCGAAAGCTCTGGCTGTGGGTTCTAACCCAGCTCTGAATCATGGCAGTCATGTGGGCTTGGCCCAGGCATTCACCTCTCCGGGCCTCGATCGCCTCACCCGCAGGGTGGCAAGGCCTGGCCTCAGTGAGGCCCCCAAGGTGGACAGTAGACAAATCCCTCAAGGGTGGCTCTGGAGGTGAGCCTGGGTGATGAGGCAGGGCCCGGCTGAGATGATCTGATGGTCAACTGTCCCCTCCCTGCCACTTCAACTGCAGGAAGCCCGACCCAGAGGGGAAGCCATGCCCAAAGTCACAAAAGGCAGACAGCCCCTCAGCCATCCAATGACTGAGGGAACAATGACTGCTCCTAGTGATTGAGCATTTACTATGCGACAAACACAACGGCCCATGAGCCAGACACTGTGTCCCCGATTCTCAGGAAGTTTGACCCGACCATACTCCTGCCCCAGGGCCTGTGTACCTGCTGCTACCTCACCCTGGAATGCTCCTCCTCGGGAAGTCCCCATCTCACCTCAATCCAATTTCTCACATAGTGAGAAGGACTTCCGGGACAGACTGGCCCAGCAGCTCAGCCTCGGAGCCCTCACGCCCTGCAGCCCGCTTTCTCTCAGCATTCGGCACCGTCACTCGTCTTTGCAGACTCCCACGCCACGACTGTCTGTGCCTCTGTCTCCCCCTGAGAGCGGGCGCTCTGTCTATTTACTGAATAGGGCTTGGTCCATGGTCGGCCCTCGATAGCTTCTCTCTCAATGAGTGAATCTCCCTGCTGGGTGCCAGCCGAACCGCCTTGCCCCAAAGCAGGGGCTTTGGGTGCTGCTCCTGGCCCATGGCTGGGTGTCAGGGCTCAGAACTGAGTGCAGAGTACTGTCGGACCACAGAGAGACCTGGGTCTGAGGGTGGGGACCCTCTGAGCCAGCTCCTCGAGGTCAGGACCTGGATCCTTCTCTGGTCCGCATGCTCCACTCAGCGCAGAGGGCCCGGTGCAGCTCACAGCAGCTGGGACCACGGCCCCAAGTCACAGAATCAGGGCCACCTTCCTGAGTGCCCAGTAGTGCTCCTGGCTCCCTTTCTGCCATCTCTGAGGCTCTAACCTCCCCGGCAGCCTCTGCTCCATCCACCCCTGCAACGCAAGGCCCAGACTTGGGGCTGCATGGCTTCCGGATCCAGGGATTAACCCATTGGGCCTGAAAGACGCTTCAGGATGTCCCCAGTCAGCTCAGTCTGGCCAATGGACCTTGGACAAGGGACTCCTCTGCTTCTTGGAGCCTCAGTTTTCCCTCCCAGGAATAATTGGGAATGAGAACTTTCCTTCCAGGAATGTGGGGTAACTGGAATGAATGAGTGACATCCCTCCTAGGCAAAGATTCTCGGAAACCTATTTTCAGAACCTCACCATCAACTGAAGACGCCAGGCTTGCCTGGAGCTAGCGCTGAGGTCAGAGGCTGAGCTGGGACCCTGGCTCTGTTCGTGAAACCTGGGGCAAGTGAATCTCCCTGCGCCTTGGCTTTTGCTTCATGCCCTGCAGATGCCCAAAGGACAAAAAGGACTTCCTACCACACAGGAAGACACAAAGCTGGTAGACTGGGGGTCACCTCTGAGCCCCCCTTGGGGTCTTGCCTGCCGGGGGTCTGCCCACACCCCGTTATCCTCTGGCCTTGTGTATGCATGAGCAAAACTGGGTAGAGCCGGGTGACACCAAGGAAACGCGGTGACTGAGCATTCGAGACTGAGCTTGTCCGTCACCTGGCCTGGTGGGAGTCCTGTGGCCAGAGCAGGACACAGGCACTCCGGACAGGAGTTACTCAACACAGAGCTCACCGAGGAGTGAGTGACAGAGGGGTCTTGTCCCAGAGCATGCAGGAGCCCCAGCCCCAGCCTGGCAGCAGCCATTCAGCATCCTGGCCACGGGACACACAGCCCAGATGGCCCCGGGACCAGGCACACACTCAAAGCAGAGCAATGGCCTGGCAGAGAGAAGCAGAAAGTGCCAGGCCACACATGGGTAGGGTAGCGTGGCCAGTGGAAGGTCAGGGTCACCCGTAGAGTCTGCGTAATAGACACGGAAAATCTTTACCG